TTCACCACACAGCCCAGCCCCGGCCCACCCTAGCACAGGCTGACTCCTTCAGAAAACAATATAAAGTTTCCTAAAAAAAATTCAAAATAAAGTTATGATGGGATCCAGCAATCTCACTTCTGGGTGTATGTCTAAAGGAAGTAAGATCACTATCTCAGATACGTGTACCCCCATGTTCACTGTAACATTATTCACAGTAGCCAAGGTATAGAAACAATATAAATGTCCATCAACAGATGATGGATGAAAAAGATGTGGTGCATATATGCAATGGAATGTTATTCAGTTATAAAAATGAAGAAAATTCTGCCTTTTGTATGACAAAGTTAATGGACCTTAAGGGCATTATACTAAGTGAAACAGAGACAGACTAATACTGTATAATCATACTTATATGTGGAATCTAAAAAATCCAAATGCATAGAAATGGGAGCAAGAATGAGATTAATAGGAGGGTAGGAGGTGTAAGGAGTGGGGAAATGTTGGTCAAAATGTACAAAATTCTGTCCTTTGATGAATAAATCCAGGGATGTAATGTATGGCATGGAGACTACAGTTAACAATACTGTACTATATACTTGAAAACTGCTGAGAGAGTAGATCTTCAGTGTTATCACTATAAAAACGGTAATCACATGAGGTGATGGAGGTGTTAACTAAGCTTATTGTGATAATCATTCTGCAATATACACATATCAAATCATCACATCCTATATCTTAAACTTATATATACTCTATGTCATTTCTCTCTCAATAAAGCTAGATTTCCTGCACCGTCAGATTACCTTCTCACATGGAATGTATTTTCCAGTGGCTAATAACGTATTTGTGCATCCTGTCCAGAGTATTTCCTTCCCAGTGTAAAGGTACCAGGAATTCCAAGTTGCTAATCAAAATATTGTTTTGTGAATATAATCAGAAAAAAGGGAGAGATAATATTAAGGTTCATTTCATTTAAGCCACGGGTAAAGCCTAAGAAATTATTTGTGCTCTAGAGCAAGTGTGCTAATGACTAGTCCAGTGACGTCCTTCGGGTTTC